ACGAAGTTGGATTGGATAGCCAAGAGTAAGTAAAAGATGTATACCTTGAGCCGTTTCTTTGGATTTAGGGGTGAAAGTCATCCTCGGTTGATCATTGAAAAGTCTACTAGAAACTTCCGATATTTTTCTGCTACACCCAAGCAGGTCTTTAATTATAATCCATATGATTACAAAGTAAAGCTTCTAAAAATAAAAAGTAGTCATTATCTTGAATACTAGATGATTCAAAGTTTCAAAATATTCTGAAACTAAACACTTTCAAACACTAATGCTTTAGCACGTTCAATCACAAAGTCTCATCGACTCGTTGTCACCAAAAGAGGCCTATAAAAGAAATGTATAAATTGAATTAGTATCCCATTTAGGAACACCAACACCAATTAGCATGAATACAACAAAGGTAAGTGATCACATAAGGTTTACATTGTACACTTAGTTATCACAAAAGAAAAAAAAAAAACGAAAAAAAAGGCGATCCTTAGTCCTTCTCCTCTCTAATATATATATATCTTAGCACATACAAAGGGAAGGCCCTAATGATCGTCAAAGTCGCATCGTAGTGGTACACAATATCTTCTATTTTCTTTCTATCTTAGCACCTACAAAGGGAAGGTCCTGATGGTCGTCAACATCGCATCGCAGTGGTACACAATATCTTCTATTTTCTTTCTGAGTGTACAATATATATATATTAAATGGGGAAATGGATACCCGTTATAACTGCGAATAATACCCATAACCGCCCATTTAAATTTCACGGATAAACGGCTATACACATAACCATTTGTTCGTCTAAATAGTTACCCATAACTGTAACCGTGAACTTTAATTGGTGGATAACCGCGGTTACCCAAACCCATGGGTATTTTGCCCATCCCTAGTGATCAGGATGCTGTAGTTGAAGAAGTTTTTGTGCATCTTGTGCACATCTTTTTTTGATGGCTCTTGACCGTTATTCCTCAGAGCTTCGATGACATGCTCATCGAAAATCGCCTTTAAGTCAACTGATACCTAAACAGAGCGGTATCCACTGGAAGGCCAGAAAGGGAAGTACCAAGGATGGCCGTGACATCTAGAATGGTCGGGCCAATGGGGCCGAGTGAAAGGATCATGGTATTGGTGGCCGAACACCAAAAGCTTAGGGCAACCATTTAGAGTTCTCGATCCATGTTGATCTCAATGGTCGAGAGCTTGATGGCATTGAAGATGTCGAGAATCTTCCAGTCGCCTCCGAAGTGGGGCTCTATCTGGGTGACCCAAGTAGCACAGGTCACTGAGGTCGAGGGCCAAGCCCCTTGAGGTTTGGCCGATTCCCATTTCAACCAATCAAACCCTTGGAAGAGGGGTTCTAAGCAGTGGGCCTTTAGCAATGAGGCAACGGTTTATGGGATCTCATCTTCGAAAAAAGGTCCCAAGGTCTAGTGGGGGTGCTCGAGTTATCCTCAAATCGAATAATTTCGATGGCGTTTCGATCGATGAAGTCTCGACAGTTGTTGCATTCTTCAGCGAGCTTGGTGATGAAGGTGTTGGCAGTCATTGATAAAGATTGGAAGGTTTTCTAGGTTTCAAGATTTGGTTCCTTTTTCTAGGTTGAGAGCAAATGGTAAGAAATTTCAGAGATTTGAAAGCATAAAAGGTCAAGCGAATTTAAGCTAGGTATTTATAGGCATTTTGGAAGAAGATCAACGGTTTAATTTTAAAAGCATAAGGGGTATATTCGACCAGAAAGTTTTGTAATCAAAACGAATATTTAAAGAATCTAGGTGAAGAGACTGCAAAGCTCCTGGATTTAGGTTTCACAATTACATGTAATGGCGAAATTTATAATGAGGAGACGTTTCAGCGTCTGCACGCCTCGAACATGGAGGCACGCATGATTGAAGGTGGAAGGTTGTGATGAGATGCCGCCACGTGTCAGGTTGTTTTAAATGAGATAGAAGTGGGAGAACGTGGGAGCATCCATATGTCGAGTGGTGCGCTACTATCAGAAAAGTTGAAAGGTGAAAGACCATGCTTAATAAGTGTGTATAGACGTTTGGAGTGTTTGAGGCTTGCAATGATCCTTGGGTTTTTGGGGGGAATAAGCTAAGGGTTTGTTTTTCAACAGAGGATCACTTCTTTAAGGTCAAGGCTCGGCCAAAGATTGTAGGCTGAAGACCTTAGAAGCGAGGGGGCAATGTTTGGGCCCAAAATAATAGTTTAGGCTGAGGTTAGAGCTGTTCTCAGCCCATTAATCTTTTTTTAGGATTATCACGGGTCGTTTAGTCAGGATCAGCTAAATCCTGTTGCAAGGCGGATTGGTTTAGATAAGAGTGGAGTAGTCAAAACCTAATGCAACAAGAAGTCTTAAGGCTAAGGATGCTGAAACTTAGGAGATGAATCTGATTTATTAAAGAACTTGGTAAGTCCTATTGGAGTTAGGATTGGCCGAGGCCTAATCAGATTAGGATGAGGAGTTCTAATCCGAGTACAATTTTGGCTCGGTCATGAAAGGGGTCGCTATTATAAACAAAGAATGGAGTGCACAGTGCAATGCCGCTCCAGTTCAACATACAAATTACCCTGTGTAAAGCTTCTCAACAACCTTTGAGATTTTATCCTTCTCCCCTTTCTTCCACCAACATATCTTCAGTTGGGATAAACAACACTGTGAAGGTAATTGGCGACATCTTCAATTTGGATAGACAACACTGGAGCCGTAGAATCAGCCAACCAATGAACACCTTCAGTTTGGATAGATAGCACTGCTTTGAGGCCAACTAGTTATTTATCCAAGTCTCAGTCGAGAAGGATTTCCGAATCCTTGTTGGCAGAGAGGTCATCTCATCAGCCTTCTCGGTGAAGTGAGGTGTTACAGATTACTAGGCTTGGCACGTTGAACGCTGAGTTATTTTATGATTGGATACTTGCAAGTAAGTTTCAGAGTTCGGCATTCTGACGGCCGAACCACATTTACCATCAAGACATAAATCTCTTTCGAGTATTTGTGTCCGTATAATTTGGTACGAGTTTGGCGTGTTTATACTCTTACGAATATTATCACCGTGACCGAACCCGGCACCGACGATTTGTGAATTTCGCAGAACTAGCAACCTTGTCTTCAGGCTCTAGAACCCAAAGGCCAAGACAAGTTCCTTCCTCGGTCGCAATCGCAAGATCAAGAAGTTAACGGCAAGCTCAACGCCACATCAACACATTTTACTCCCCAACCAAGCTCGATCGTTGAGTTGCCACGCCCCACACATAATCGAAGGACGTAGTTAGCTTATTAGTTATTCGGCATGCGCACCACGTAGGCTTGGTAGTTTTTAGGGTCAAGAGTTTCACAACCAATTTTCACATAAAAATATACCAAACTGAAGCTATGAGTGAGGGGATTCCGTTTCTACCTAAATCGAGGTCAAAAGGTGGTCGAAAGTGACCAGAAATTGGCCCGGAAGTCTCGGCATGTTTGGGTTTCTTCGAATCAATGATAGATTCGAGCATGGAAAGCTTCGATCTGTGTCGAGGGATGGAGATTAGTTTGTTGGTGGTGTTAACCTCATCCAATTCGACGAGGTTTGGCCGGAAAACACGATGGAAAACCTGCAACTCATCGAAAAAAATGGAGAGAGCGGCAGTGAAGGAAGGAAAAGAGGGAGAAAAATATAGGATAATAATGAAATATTAATATTTTTAATTAAATAATATAATATTATTTGTCCTGCTTTTTAGTCCTACAGTGCACCAAATGCTTCACTAAATTAGTTCAGCTTAGTCTATTCTAAGCCAGTCTAGCTTAATCCCTCAAGTTAGTCTAATCCCAGATAGTCTGGTGCAACAAACACACCCTAAAAGCACTATGTTGTACACAAAAAAGGGTAAGGTTTGAGTTATAAGGAGCAAAATTAGATTAAAATCGAGTTTATGCGGGGCATAGCTAAATATGAAATCAGCATTTTATGAAAGTAACATTCGAGAGCAACTAGAAAACAACTGCATACAGGTTAAAAATAATTTTAGTTTGTTACGTGAAAACAAGGACATCAAAGGGAGAGATTTTTCAATATGTCCGGAATACTGAGTGCACACCACATGTTAATGTACAAGTGGTGAGATATTTGTGTTACAAAGATTAACAACATAAGAACTAAAACCTCTCACTCATTCTCTCCCATTTATCTCTCTTGCGTCCCCCTTTCTCCCCCATACTCTCTTATCGTTTTTCTCTTTCTAATTTTCAATTTCAACGGGAAATGTGGTAAGAAATTTCAGTTTTGATGCTTAATGTGTTAAATATAGATTTAGTGCAGGAAGACAGATAGAGAGATAGGAAGACAAAGGGGAAACAAAATAGAGGAAGAAAACAAGGGCAGCATATATAAAAGAAAATGAGTTGCCGCCAGCAGAAGTTGTGCCTGATTTATTTTCACCAGTTGGGGTGGGTGGTGTTATGGGCGTTGGTTTGTATTTTTAGATTTTCAATCTTTCTGTTTTTACATTTTACAACTTAAGCTAGTAGGGATAGTTAAGGGATAAAGGTGGTTGGGAATATAGTTTTAGTTTTTTCGTAAATTTTATGGTGGATGAAATTATAACATGGGTGGAAAAAGACAATGGGATCGGTATCGTAACATTCTGCTTTTATTAAAATATGGGTGAAAAAATGGTACAAGATTTTTAGCAAAGGAAAATCGTATTCGATAAAATCACTCCCAAACAAGACCCTAGATCTATTCGAAAATCCCTGGAAATCCAGTGATTGACGATCATCCGTTGATGATGGAGACCGGGAAGCCGAAGATAGAAGTTGTAGCACTGAAGCTTCCGTTGAGCGTTCGCGGCAACACCTGTAGCAATGTGATGACCAAAAACACCGAATTAAATGTCCACGAAGAATCTTCGCGTGAGGTACGTACGTGATTTGCTATAGAGAAAGTGTGCTGGTACCGTGATATATACTGAACGCGGTTCCATGCAATTCAATGATGTAAATTAGTCATAATTTCATGATGAAATAGTCTAGATGCTTTGTTGTTCAGCAAGCTGGGTACTTACTAATTCTTCTTTCACTTATAGGAGCCTGGGGGAACTCCAAAACTTTTATTGATGTTTGATTGCACCAAGTGCTCGGCCCGGATTGCGGTGAAAACTGACGAAGAACGCAGAACCTTTTGCGTTGCATCTGGTGCTACACGAGCTTTTTGAACCCGGAATGGCATGAATGAGGTACGTACGTAAATGAAAGAATAATGACTCTGCTAGCTATTCGTCATGTTTTTCTGTTTTTACATCGCCTTGTACTGTCCTGTTATCGCATTGCTTATTTACTCAATTCATGCATATATATTGCTTTTCCAGGAGGAATATATTGAGTCATTGTATAAAGAGGCTATGCAAAGGAGATCTCTAGACAACAGTGCTGGTGGCCGATACTTGGGTTTGGTACTGCAGAGGGACATATGGGTTAAAATACTTGTCGATTCTCATGAGGTAGAGGTCTCGGTGCACGGTTATTTTCTGGTTTTTAGATTCCCTTGTACTGCAATCACACTACTCAATGACTCAATTCATATGTATATATGCATACTCATTTCCTTTTACAGGAACAAGGAAAATGCACGGATGGTTTTGTACAGTGTTCAGGAAAGGATTGAAGGTATTGTAACTAGGATCTATGTGCATTTCATATGCGTGTACAAATCCAATAAATGCTTCTTGTATAGTTTTGTGTATATGTGTATCCGTTCACACTCTCCATAATTTAGCAAACAAATTTTGTATGGGAAGAAAGAGAAGCCCTCCTATTTTGAACAGTAGGTAATGCCATTTTTATCGAGGAAAGGAATTACCCTAAATATCTCGAGTAGAATCAATCAATCGACTACGTACTTGATGCAGTTATCTTAATATATCGGATGGTGAAAAGGGAAATTTGATGGAGTGAAGAGCTGTATAGTCTATCAATGTTTCTGCATTCACCTATTGCTTGAGCTTTGGTACCTGTTGAGTCTTAGTTCTCTCGTTTAATTTTGAGCCTACTAAAAATAAGGATAAATGGAATTGATAAAGCACTATTGTTGTATTGATATATGCTATTCGATGTGTTTTTTTATCGAACTGGATTCTCCTTGATCTTAGACCACAACAGAATGTCCCTGTTCTGATTCATTTTTCTTTACTTTGCAACTTTTCCTATTGTTTCTTCCTGGCATGTTTGTTACTGATGCCATTTGTTTCTTAAACACATTTTTGCAGAACTCGATGAAAAGATTCCTTTCGATCAGCTTCCACCTAAGAATAAGTGGGTAAGAGTTCGTCCTATTCTCGACATCCTATAGCTTCATTATACATATACGTATATCTTATTAGGAAAAGTAATTTCCATAGATTAAATGAATAAGATTATACTTAGAGTATTTATACAAGAGCTGCTAAAGCTAACAGAAATCAAAACTTCTAAAACTAAGATTCCTTATCCTCTAAGTAATATCTCTTGTAGGTGTAAGTATATTTTTATCCTTAATATCCCCCCTCAAACGAAACTGTGGAACTTGCAGTTGAAGTTTGTGTCTCAGAAGCAAGAACCTGGACTTAGATAGAGACTTGGTACAAATGTTAGCGATTTGATCCTATGTACAAATGAACTGCACAAAGACTTGATTAGACAGAACCTTTTCATGAATGTAGTGATAATCGATCTCAACATGCTTAGTCCGAGCATGAAAGATAGGATTCTTGGCTAAAGAGATTGCAGATATATTATCACACCATATATAGGGAGAACAATACAGAGTATAAGCAATGTCAACAAGCAGTTTACATAGCCAAGTAATTTCAGCAGCTGTGTTGGCAAGAGATTGATATTTAGCTTTAGTTGATGATCGAGCAACATTTGGTTGCTTCTTAACACTCCAACTAATGAGTGAATTCCCAAGAAATATGCAGTAACCACTAGTAGATCTTCTGTCCAAAGAACACCCTACCCAATAAGCATCTAAAAAAGCATGAAAATAATGAGGTTTGGAGCACTTGGAGAACCATAAACCCAGATCAAGAGAACCCTTAAGACATCGAAGGATGCGTTTAACAGCTTGCATATGTGAAACTCGAGGAGTGTGCATAAACTGGCACACCAAATTAACTACAAAACTGAGATCAGGCCTTGTCCAGGTTAGATATTGAAAAGCTCCAACTAATGATTGATATGCAGAAGGATTTTCAAGAAGATGGGATGAGTGATCAAGCTTGATTGTATTAAAAGGAGTGCTGCAAGGTTTAGCTCCTTCCATGTGTGCTTTTTTTAAGAGATCTAAGATGTATTTGGTTTGAGATATGAAGAAACCTGAGGAAGATCTTTTGACTTCAATGCCAAGAACATAATGAAGTGCCCCAAGATCCTTGATGGGAAAAAAACACTGAGTTGTGCTATTACTTATTGACAAGCTGCAGGAGATGGACCAGTAACCAAGATATCATCAACATACACAAGAATGAATACCAAGGTTGGAGATCTCTTCACAAATAAGGAATGATCATTTTGAGACCCTATGAACCCAAGAGAGTGCAAAACATGATGAAACTTGTCATACCAAGCTCGAGGAGCTTGTTTTAAACCATAAAGAGATCTGTGAAGTTGACAAACATGATGTGGTTTTGCTGGATCTTCAAAGTTAGGTGGCTATTGCATAAACACTGATTCAATAAATGTTCCATGTAAGAAAGCATTACTGACATCTAATTGATTGAGGAACCAATCAAATTGAGCTGCAAGACTAAGAAAGAGTCTAATGGTGACAGGTTTTGCCACTGGACTGAAGGTTTCAGTGTAGTCCAAGCCCTCTTGTTGGTGAAATCCTTTTGCAACCAACAAGGCTTTATACCTGTCAATGGAGCCATCCGGTGTTCTTTTAATCCGAAAAACCCACTTATATCCTACAAGATTGTGGGAGGAAGAAGGGGGTACAAGAGACCAAGTACTAGTATTAAGAAGTGCATTACACTTCTCTTACATTGTTATACGCCAATTAGAATGTTTTGAGGCTTGTAAATAGGTGGTAGGGATATAGTTAACTGCAAGATGAGAAGGAATATGATGTTTAGTTGCAGTTAGGGCTTTAGGTTTGAAAATGCCTGACTCGGATCGTGTCTGCATTGGGTGAATATTAATAGGTAAGGAAGCTTGTGAAGAGGGTGAATGGATTGCAGAAGTTGGCATGGATGAAGAAAGTGAAGAATCTGATGAGGGAATGGAAGCTGATGTAGAGACAGTATTTGAAGGAACTGGTGAAGGTATAGAATTTGAAGGCAAAGTATGAAATGTTAGGGAAGTTGGAATAGGTGAATGGGATAATGGTGAGTTAATAGATGATGATAGTGGAGATTGCAGAGTCTGAAAGGGAAAGGTCAATTCGTCAAAAAGCACATGCCTTAAGATATACAGTCTATGAGTGGCTGGATGTAGACACAAATAGCCTTTGTGATTGAGACTATAACCCAAGAAGACATTGATGCGAGAATTACTTGACACTCAAATTAAACCCTCGTTTGACAATTGTAGTAGAATGGATAAGTGAGGGATCGTTCTAGACCGGGGATTAGGAGGGCTTGCTAAAACCTTCTAAATTGACTTAAAAACATAAAACCACGATATAAAACACTATTTAATGCTCGAAGAAAGAAAAACTAAAAATAAGAAAGATTAAGACTAAGACTTCAACGAAATAGGGGGGAATTGGATTTGGACGAATTTAAACTAAAATGGATACTTGGAAACAAAACAAATTGTAAATATGGATTTGACGGAAATGAATGGATGGGAAGCTAGCTAAGGGTTCTTTCTCCACACATGATATTTATGCATATGAATTAATTTCCAGTTATTCCTTCATTGAATTATGAACGACAATGCCCCAAATTAACCGTGACATCACTAGTTAACCCTCAGATTTTCCTTATATTATTGGATTGGATGGCATCATTCGACAACCCAAAACATTCTCAAAAGTTCCCTACATGTCATCATAATAGAGATACAATCGAAGATCATTAAGAATAATGAAAACCATAAGCATTGACAAAGCATTTGCAACTATGACATCATGTTACTCATGCTAAGAATTAAACTTAACGCGATCGTGACAAGCGACCTTCACTACTTTCAAGTATAAGCTAGTAACGATTATGTGAAACCTTCTTAAACTTTAGCCACATATTCATGCATGCTAATTAAGTGTCGACCCTCAATCAACAAACATAAATAAGTTAATCATCAAATAGTTAAGCCAATTGCATTCACGAATCAAGAGTTCATAACCGGAATTCATCAATTCATATTACATAAATAATCATGGTATTGAAATCACCCCTAGCCAAAAAGGGTTTAGTTCCTCATAACTTTGAAATCAAAGAAACACCTAAACATTCCAACAACTCAAACTTGAATTGTATGAACGTTTAGGCACTCTTCTCTTCCATTCCTCATATTACAAAACAAAGAGAATTGAATTTAAACATTGAAATCAAAGAAACGCGTAAACATTCCAACAACTCAAACGTGAATTGTATGAACGTTTAGGCCCTCTTATCTTCCTCTTTATTGTGGCACAAGGACTAAGGGATGTTGTTGGTGTGTTGAATGGATTGGGGGATTATGGAAATGGAAGAAATGGAGGAGAAATGGAAGGGAAATGGAGAGAAACTCACGGCTAGGGAGAAGATGGAAGTGTTTGTGGTGTGTTGTGTATGAAATGAGATGATCAATGAATGAATGAATGCAAGGGTATTTATAGGAGTAGTGGAGGGAACATATAGGGAGAGAATGGATGGGAGAGCATGTGAATGATAGCTAGGAGAATGATTAAAGTGGTGTGAATGGTTGGAAATGCATGTGGGTGAATTGGTGGTGCAATGATGAAAGAATAAGTGCATGTGTGTGTTTTGTGTTGGAATGAATGTGGATGCATGATGAAAAGTTAATAAATAATGCATGTAGGGTTAGGAAATAAAATCATAATTTAAAGGGGGGATGATTAAAGGATGTGGCTAGGTTGGAAAGGTGTGGAAGATGGATGGAATTAGGGGGAATGTATGGCAATGATGGGGAGTTCTTTGGTGATGAATGCAATGATGAAGAGTGAATAAATAATGCATGTAGGGTTAGCTAGGTTGGCTTTGTTTGGGTGCATGTGAGTTAAAGAGGGAGAATGTGGTGAAATGATGAAGTAGGAAGGTGGAAATGCATGTGAATGCATGTGAGTGCATGTGTGTGTGAATAGGTGTTTCTTGATGGTTTTGGGGTTGTGATGCATGTGAATGCATGTGGCTAAGGCTTGTTGATTGGGCTAGAGGTTTTGCATGGCTCAAAGGATTGTTTGATTGGGCTAGGCCCTTTGTTTTATGTCCAAAGTGCATACAAGGCTTTCAAATTCGTCCAACACTTTGGCTCCAAAAATATGCTATCCATTCCAAGCCCAATTTTGCTCCAAAATGCTCCAAAATGCATCTTTTTGCTTCCTTAGCCATATGAACCTAAAAACACACGAAAATGGCTTAAACTACTAAAACAACTATGAATTAACAACATAGATGCACGAAAACAAGCTAAGTAAGTCGCCTAAATATGCTCCTATCAGACACAAGGCTTGCTTTTGGGATACAATTTTGAAGATGTGTATGGCTTTAACCAAGGGAAACAACTGTAGCCAAAAACTCTGAGAGATTTGTAATCTAGAACTTTCTTGAAAAAAGACTGCTAAGGAGAATATCTGGAAATGGTGGGTAATATGTTGATAAGATAAACTGAGGTGGCAAAAGCCTTAACCCAATAAGCATGAGGCACCTGAGATGCTGCCAAAAGTGTTCGAGCAGTCTCAACGATATGCTTATGCTTACACTCTGCACACCCATTTTGCTCTGGGGTTTGAGGGCAAGTGAGCTGCTGTTGAATTCCATGTGCAATTAAGAACTTAGAGCAAGCAAGATTCACAAATTCACCTCTAGAATCAGACCTTAGTGCAACAATTTTAGTACTCAGAGAATTTTCAACTAGAGATTTCCATTGCATAAAGGTGGAAAATACATCAAATTTACACTTTAAGGGATAAAAACAACAATGTCTGGTATGGTTATCTATGAAAATGACATAATACCGAAAACCATGATGAGAAACTACAGGTGATGGTCCCCAGACATCCGTATGGATAAGTTCTAAAGGCTTGCTTGTAGTACAAGTAGAACTAGAAAATGGAAGTTTAGAACATTTCCCTAGTGCACAATCTGAACAGAAGGTCATATTTGAACCATCAAAAACAGAAATACATGATTGACATGCCAACTTATTTATGATCTTAATAGAAGGGTGGCCCAGTCTTTGGTGCCAGAGATGTCTTGGTGCTTTGACAATGGCAGAGAATGCTAGATGAGACTTAGCATAAGAAGGTGATCAAGAAAAAGGATAGAAGCCATGTTTAACTGGACCTTTAAAAAGCATCATCCCCGAAGTAAGATCCTTCACAGTGAAGTAAAAAGGATAAAGATGCTTAGAACACCAATTGTCAAGGAGAAATTGATTGGCAAATAGAAGATTATGCTCTAAATCAGGGACATGTAAAACGTGTTTCAAATAGAATGTAGTATTAGAAGTATGTAAAGATGATGAACTAGAGTGGAAAATAGGCAAACCTTTGCCATCTCCAATATAAACTTGTTCAGGACCATTGTATGCTTCTGGATTCTGGAGATTTGAATAAGAATTGGTCATATGCGAGCTTGCACTATAATCAACAATCCAGGTGTGTGGAGTATTGGAATTGCTAGCAACCATAGCAGAATGAGATGATTTTCCACTGTAATTCTGGTCTATGCAATGAGAACAGTCACAAGCTTCATGATCGAATTGGCGACAGATCTAGCAAGAAACTTTCTGTTTGAAGTGTATGTATTGTGAGCTCCACGATTGAATCTTTGAGTGTTGTGACGAGAATAGTTGTTCCTGCCATCATTATTGTATCTGTAGTTGCCACGAGATTGAGAGTTACCTCGATTGTGACTCTGATAATTGCGGTTCATAGGACGACCTTGATTGTTGAAATGAAGAATCGGCTAAGCAACAAAGGCTTGAGGATGAAGATTTGCTGGCAAAAGAAGGATACCAACGGAGGAATTATACGCCTGAAAAGGAGCTGCTGAAGCAGTTTTCATACGATTTGTGAGTTGAATCTCTTTGCTGAGAAGCAAGCTGTGTAATTCATCAATAGTTGTGGATCTAATGCAAAACTGAATGGCATCCACAAAAGAGTCATATTTAGAGGGTAAACCATGAAGAGTGACTGAGATGAGTTCTGAATTTGCAACTGGAGCGCCAGCACTAGCAAGTGCATCTGCGATTTCTTCAATTTTCTGGAGATATTGAGCAACAGTTAAGTCACCTTTAACAAGATTACGAAGACTAGATCGAAGCTTATGAATATGAGATTAAGAAGCAGTCGTGAGGCGCGATTCTTGTTTTGCCTAAAGCTCGCTGGCAGATGTCACACCAACCGTGAAAGGGATGAGAGAATCAGAAAGTGTTAAATTTATCAAGATAAGAATGTTTTGATCATTCTCAAACCAAGTAACATAGGCTGGATTGAGAGTTGCAGTTCGATTTCCTAACGAATCAAGAAGAAATTTGGTCGGCACCGCCATAGTGCCGTCGATAAGTCCGGTGAGATTGTAACGCCAGAAGATCGAAGCAAACAAGGCACTCCATGTCAGGTAATCTGTAGTGGTGAGTTTGATTGGAACCATATATCCAATATTCTGGATTGTGATTGAAGCAGCAATTGCAGAATTAAGGTTAGAAATTACATCAGGAATTGGATAAATAGGAGAATCCAATCCCCAAGAAAGAGATGCAGAGGTTGCCATGGCTATAAGAAAAAGAAGGTCTCGCGATCAGGAGCTTGGAGGCGATCGATTGATCAGAGAAGATGAAGAGGTAAGGCGATGAAGCGGTGTAGAAAGGAAGCAGGAAAAGAAAATCGAAGAATTGTCGTGGGACTTTTAGGCGGTTGATACCATATTAGGAAAAGTTTTTTCCATTGATTAAATGAATAAGATTATACTTAGAGTATTTATACAAGAGCTAATAAAGCTAACAAAAATCAAAACTTCCAAAACTAAGATTCCTTATCCTCTAAGTAATATCTCTTGTAAGTGTAATTACATTTTTATCCTTAATATATCTGGTATACTGCAATGTGTATTTCTTTTCTCTGGCGTTGTGAGTGTCAAAGTCTCAATCTAAACATATATGCATTTCCTTTTCAGAGAAATGAGATAATTATGGAGAAGTTCATGTCCGAGCTTGAGGCTTTAGTCAAGGAAAATTACCCAGAGAAATTAAAGGTGACTAAGTATTAACAATGAAGATTTAAGAGGATGACGGAGAAGTGTCTGAGTGAAGACATAAATGCTCATTCTTATAGCAGGGAGTTCTTCAACTTGTGTTTTTATCGTATTTCATCGAGAGAGCAAGGGGATTGTTCTTTGTTTATGGTGACTCTTTTTCTGTAGATTTAGAATTTAGTAGTGGGATGAATATTTTAGGGCATGTGTCCGAGTATTATGCCTGGTATAATAATGACATAAGTTAGAAAATCCAAGAATGTAACATGAGTTAGCAGCAAGAACTCAAATTTAGAGACCAAATTTAATGGACTTTTAGTTCAGGAATCAAAATTTCAATTTGGTGATAATTCAGGAACTATTGCCAATTTCCTCTTTAGGTTAAGACTAGATATGTTGAAGCTTCTGCCTTTCTAGTTTCTACGATGATAAAAATTCCCTTCCTTCGCCCTTAACACGTGGGAGCACCTATGCCAAGAGGTAGTGAAAGGCAAATCCATCAATTTAGTGTTCGACAAAAAAAAAAAAAAAAAAAAAAAAAAAAAGAGAAAAGAAAAAGAGGATTAAGTAGAAAAATGAAGGGCCTTTCCATGAAATCAATGTTAATTAAAAGTGTTTTTAACTCAGTTTGGGTGCCACATCTATCTATAAATTAAGAGAGAAAACCTTGTAATGAAACCATAAATTTATAGAACTGTGTCATTTAAAAACTTTAGCTGCCTAGAGAGAAAAGCAAATAAAATCTTCCCCTGCCTTTTGTCTTGGGGTCTACAGCAACCATTCTTAGTGTCTTTTCTATTCCTACTTTTACTTTCGTGCAAATTGTTGCTGTAAAATGCCGTAGTCATCGAGATAGTAGTTATCTTTTGGCTCACACACACATTCCACACAAGATTTTGGCCCCAGTTGTCACTTTCGATGGAGTTGAAAAACTCATGGCACAATCTCTTGGTTAGTGTCTCACTAACACTCTAGAAGAGCTTAAGAAAACTGTCTCTTACTTGAAAACAGAATATGAGATGAAGGATCTTGGGAAAACCAGTTTATGCCTTGATTTGAAGTTCAAACATTTGTTATCATTAAAGAGGTTGTAGAACCCGAATTTCCATATCTAAGTTCAACTTTGCAGTTTGTTGTACTTACTTCATTGTATTAGACATGACTTATTTGTTGTTGATCGGTTGGTAAAGATACAACACTGTGTTTATACGTCACCACTAAATTGGCAATAAAGACTTTTTTTGTCTACCCTGAAGGTACTACAAATTTGCCCTACACATCCCTAGTGGACCTATTCCCTGATCCTCGGAGTGGTGCTTGCCTTGTTTATTATGTGAATGTATATTACTTATTAAACCCACACAAGGCACATTCTCATAAGGTTATGTCTTTCCTATTAGGGGTACAACAATATTTTTAAGGTCCACAAAATAAACCTTAATTGCAAAATCTTCAAACCATTCCAAGCTCACCACACCTCACTACGACACATGTGAGAGAAATGATGTTGAGATCTTGTTAAGCATATTCGAAGTATCTGTAGCTTTCATCCATCATTGAGTTCCAACGATGATCTATGAGGACAATGTCACATGTATTGACCAGATCAAGATATAATACATCAAAAAAGTTCACACCAAGCATATTGCGTCCTCATCACACCAGTAAAGTATCAGAAGACTAAAGTCAAGCAAACCTGATCCCAAGAGAACCTTGCCAACCTCTTCACGAAGTCATTGTCCAAATCAACCTTCCCGAAGTTTGTCCAAGGAATTGGTATGTGTAACTATCTCTTTTGCAACACTTGTAGTTTTTAAAGGGAGTTTTGTCAAGCACAGGAGAGTATAATGAAGTATATTGACTTGATCTTAATGTATTCTTTTCGTTTAGATCAAGAGCATTTTTCCCACTGAAATTTCGCTAATCTGACGAGGTTTTGACGAGGCCACCACATCAGGATAGTCAAACCCTTGTGTGCGTTTTCTACTACTTACTTCCTAGAGATGTTAAGTATCGACATGTTGCATTAACTCATATTTTCAGCTGAGAATATGAGTTTTTTTTTTTTTTTTTTTTTTTTGTTATTTTGCATTTTACCATAGCCAGGTTTTTGTGAGACTTACTCCTATATGCGATCCCTATTAGAGAATCATGTTTGCTACTTGTGCCAACTAAACAAGACAACTTCATCAACTGCTTCTACATTATCCATGAAGATCTGATGCGTTATCCACTTGTGTATTTACACACTCAAGGGAGATTGTTGTGATATTAATTATATCACATGTGTGACTGTGTAAATCATTAGTAGATTGTATTTAGGATACTAGAAGATCCTATTCATTTATGATTGTATTACTTGGCTGGCAAGAAATCGTATTTTGTTTACTATAAATAAAGGGACAATACATAAGGAATAATACACAAAATTCCTCGAACTTGTATCCATCTCTCTCTGTCTTACTATCTCTCCCTTTAGTAAAATAGGCCACAACAGCTTAATAACTGCTTTCAATTTTCAATCTTTATATTATATAATACATAGAGTTTTTATTTATTTATTATTTATTAAAATAGTGTTAGCTAATTAACCTAACTTGCTATTAAGCTAAATAAATCACTAAGGGCTTGTTTGTTTAGCTTCCCTAAGTTTCATTAGACTGGCTAGGATTCCTAATCTGTGTTTGGTGCAAGTAGGAACTGAGTTTAATGTGACTAAGTGGGACTCGCGGGGACTAAATTCTTCGCAAGGGGGCCTTAGGGAGATCCCCAAAAAGAGAGGATTGCTAATTTCGTCTCCTACATTTGCTTTGCTTCACACTAGACTCGTCTAGGATTCCAGTTTGCTTCACACCATCCTCGTAGCCATCTAACAAGTAGACAATTGATGATGGACCTGTATCACCGCCGATGGTCTTTGTCGAAACCCAAATCCCCAATGGATAGGATCTTTGAAAAAACACAATGATTTCCCATCATGATTATTCCTTTGTCCATGGAACCGCCAGAGGAGCGCCGCTAGAAGTGCAATGACAGTTAGATATGACCCAAAACTCCATTTCAACGACGGTCACTGCAAGCACAAATCTCTACTTCAACGAGCACAAACCCGAAATCGAACAGATCTTGGCTAACCAAGCTTGCCCATTTGGACTTCCATGCACACCCAACAAAAACCCCAACAAGCAAACTTGATTATGCGTTTTGTAGAAAAAGTCTGGCAATTAAACAGAGAAAAAGAGGGAGGGGAGGGAGAGCATGGGATGGAGAGAAAGAGGAAGAAAATGGAGGTTTCGAGAGAGAAGAATCTTTTAGGAAAAAAAAAGGTAGAATTAATAAAAAAAAATATTAATAGATATGAGTTAAATAATATAATATTGTAATTTGTTATTATCTTGTTTCTTAGTCTGTCACTATATTAAACAGTTCACTATTTCAGTCAAGTTTAGTCTATTCTAAGATAGACCAATTTAGTCCACGAAGTTAGCCCAGTTCAAAATAGTCCGGTATAACAAACTTAACATAATAACTTTCTTAACAACTTTTCTAACACTTTAGCAGACTTGGCACTATTTTAGTGGATAATGCTGAGTTGACACTCCTCCAATCTCTCGTTGACAAGCAAGGGAATGTTAGCATATCTATAACTCCCTCAAGACTCTTTAAAATACCAAGGATCCCACGCGCCACCAAGTTTTTTGTAACTATTTATAATACTAGAGAGGTTAAATTTTTTAAATCAAATTTACAAACCAAATAATGTGATTATTGATGATTGAATCATTACTTAAACGTTGATTAACGTGCTTATTTCTTATCGGTGACACATTATTTGGTTTGCAAATTTTGTTTAAAATTTTGGTCTTCCTAGCATTACCCTTCAATGAAGCTACAAGTTTGCTTTCCAACAAATGGCGTTTACGTAAACATAAAAGTGATAAAAGATTGTCCATACGAATGAGGGTTTGAATACCAATTGGCGAGAGAAACTTTTTAATGTGCTAGGAACACAACTCGGTATACTAAATATCATAATACAATTAAGCGAAAAATTATTTTAAGTTTTAACTAATTGTGTTACAACAATTAATGTGCCGAACTATATTTTAGGTACACTAAAAATCTCTCAACGGTACTGCTGTTCTACACGGTTCATGTCTTAACAACCCACTATTTATGGATTGTTTTTGACTTACATGCAGTCGTGGTTGTTAATGAAAAGACTTCAAAGTCTCTAAGTCTTTGCTTCTCCCGCCGAAATCTGCACAGTCCACAGTCCACTGCTCTTTTTCATTATCATTGGTCAAACTGATAATTAAGTTCATCACAATATAACAACGCACTAAACTTCACATCTCTGTCACGAGAGATTCTCTTACAACTGGTGATATACCACATTATCCAAAAAATAAATGTTGTCCTATTTGAATAGATAACATTAAGAATCAAAAATCAGAATCGCTCTTTTTTTAACGATCCAAATCACTTGATCCCCGAGCTTCGCAACTCTAGCTTAACACTCCACTTTATCACTGAAAAGTAACCATATACGATAACATTATGATCATCATGTGGGGCATGTTGCGTCAATATCAACTGAACCGTGTGGATCTAATTTCTCTGATTAATTTAACCACTTGCATTCTGTGAGTGACGAATTACTGATGATAAATGATAATGGCAACAAGAGATATTCGACAATAGTGATCTTTTGCATGTTTACTCTTAAAATACTTGCTTATTTGACACGAAGAAATTGTATACGGTGAAAAAATGTTATTATAAGGGTTGAACATGTACCCATCCATGATGAATGCAAGCATTATCTAACAGGAATGAAAATAATTTGCCATAATGCTGTGCACTAAAGTGCTCGATGGGCCTGGTAAAGATCATCTCTGTTAAAAATAAATTAAAAAATATCGTTTAGTCACACTAACTACAATAAATTGATAGAAGGTTTGTTGGACTTTTATCGATTATGATAATTTATAAATTACTTTTTTCTTAAATTGTATAATTAGTTTAATGACTACACAATCTCGGTATTTTATTAACTTTTCAGAAATCGGTTGGAATTTCTCCTCACGGTTTGAGTAGTTAAGCTGCCTACAAAAAGATAAATAAAAGGGCCTTTACGGGGGTTTTAACTGGGTTTTTCCTTTTTTTCTTTTCTTTTTGGGTGGGAGTGGGGCGGGGACCTTCCAAGAAGATGCTAATAAATCCACGTGACAACATTTACATAAAAATTTCAAACTTGACGGCCGCCTTTCTGCCATTCTTATGGGCTGACGTAAACTTGAATGAGTAACCGTGCTCACAGAACCTACCCTCTCATTTGCTTTTGCATCATTACTAGAGTCCGCAGAGGAAAGACTTGTTCATAGTCCTTTTTGCACTTTTCTTACTATATATGGAGCAAATATATAATATATATAAATACATACCATGATCGACCACCCTTTTACCTTCCAATTTTAAGAGAGTAGCTAACTGGAAGTTGTTTCATGGGAATCTTTGTGGCCAACTTGCCAGAGAAAGATCAAATGAATAATAACCAGGCAAGTCAATCTTCTTCAACCAAAATTGAAAGGAGGGTTGTAGAGAAGAATAGGAGAAATCTCATGAAACTTCTTTACTCCAACCTCTTCTCTCTCCTCCCTAACCAAAATCCTAAGGTATCTCTCTCTCTCTCTCTCTCTCTCTCTCATGATCACATGTTTACGCAGTTACGAAACTAAAATACTCTCTTGTCAGACACTACATTTGTGGGATTGAGAATCCGAGCCATTGATTAGGTTGATTCACAGCTAATGTTGAACATTGTGGTGATGCAGGAGCCATTAACTCTGCCCGAACAAATAGATGAGGCCATCAACTACATAAAAAGCAAAGAGTCGAAGCTGCAGAAATCAAGGGAGAAGAAGGAGAGCTTGGTGGGCACTAGAAAAAGATCACATGCTACATCATTCATAAATGCTGAGAGCATGGAACCAAAAAACTTAAGTATTGAGAGCGTAAGGAGCACAAAAGCACCCCAAATCCAAATCCATGAGACAGGCTCCACAGTAGAGGTAGTACTGACTACTGGCTTAGACAATCATCAGTTCATCTTCTACGAAATTATTCGCATACTTGACGAAGAACAGGCGGACGTCGTGCATGCTGGCTTTTCAACTTTGGGAGACACTGTATTTCATGTAGTACGTGCAGAGGTATGTAAAAGTAACTGAATTTTTCTCTGTTTGTTTCTCAAGGAAATATATTTGAGATGAATCAGTACTTTGGATATTTATTTGGATTATTAATCTGGCTTTCATTTCATGTAGATGCACAAGTCTGTGTTGGATTTTGGGGCTGCAAGAATAACTGAAAAGCTTAATAGATTTGTCAATGGATCCACCAGAGACCAAGAATTACAGCAAGATTGCTTTTGGGACTTCGAATTGGAGCCTGTGGCAATACTATAGGATCAGTTGACAAGTACTCCACGAAACAAATTAATCAATCCTATTTCCCCGATGAACTAACTATGTACATTGAACAAACTGCAAAAATGGGTCGTTTTCCATGCACCGATATTAGGGGATGATCGATTTGACCTAAATCATATGTTATAAAATATATAACATATATATATATATGATGTGACAGCTTAAGTTGGCTATTAATTACTTATAACATTATATAATCTGTATTGTAAGGTTTAGTTGTTGTTGGTTGTTATAACATAAATTTGTATCACATAAGTCTTTCATTTTAACATTAGATAGATTGATATTGCATAACATGGATTTGTATTACATTAATCTTTTCTTTTAACATAACATAGATCTGTATTACATAAGTCTTCCGCTATAACATCGCATGGTTATCACATGCAAAACCAAATGCAACTTCCGCCTGGGCTTGAGTCCGTGTGATACAAGAAACGCCACAATGGGGCCCCCCTATGTGCATAGCCCACCGCCCTTGCAGACGGTTGCCTTGCCCTTGTTGACCGTTGCATTTTCGACGGTCCTTTCATTTGGACCGTTGGATTTCAAAAAAAATTGAAAATTTAAGGTTGTGCCACGTGACACAATCTGGTGTATCTGATTCAGAAAAAAAAAATTAATAAATCAACCTCCTGGATTAATTTGAAGATAAAAAAATCTAAAAAAAAATACAAACATTTTTTTTAACAACACACTTAAAATTATACTAAAAAAACTACACTTAAAATTAAACACAATTAACAGACTTACAAAGTTCAACTGTCTTCTACATTTGCTTTTTATTTTTTATTAATTATGCGTGTTTGTAATAATATGCTTTGATTTTTATTTAAAATTAATTTATAAGAGTTAAATAAGGAGTTTAATTTTCATAGAACAAACTAAGGTACAAGGCATAATACATAAAAAAAAATATTTGTGAAGAATAATCGTCCTTGCCTTTGTCTTTTCTCTTTCTAAACGAATGAACTTGCACAAATACAATTACTCTTTAGAGTGAATAGTAAACTCAATTTCATTGGAAGTGCTCTTAGAAGGGTTGGGGAGATACTTTTCATATGTATAGACTAAACAGTAGTGAACTACATTAACAACGATTAATTCATTCTAAATTTTTTAAAATAGACGTGGCAGATATTGTTTACATTTTAAATTTTTGTGAAACAGAGAGAATTTTGTAATATTAAATATATATTTTCAAATCTTAATAGATTTTTTTTTCAAAATTTTTTTATTTTTATAACGATTTTCTATTAATTTTTAATTTTAAAAGTATAGATCGTTGGATTGAAATTACAGTTCAGATTAGAAGATCAAAAAAGTGCCACATGGCAAAAACCGTTGCATTCACTTTTGAAAAAAGGAGGAGAGGAAGTTAGACCATCTCCAACCAAGGGCTAGCCAGATGACTCATTTTAACTCTCTGACCCTCTAAGATATTAATATTTTAATGAACAGCACAAGGTCATATTTGTCTCCGTCTCCAACCGAGGGCCAAAGGGTCAAACAGAATTTTTTATTTAAATTTAAAAACTACAACAACTTAAATTCAATGAATGGTTTTGGTATTTATAGAAAACAAAATTAGAACTTAAATTTAATGAATGGTTTAGATATTTATAGGAAAAAAAATTATAATTTTTAAGAATTAAAAAAAAAAATTGGCCCAAAAAACCAAAAAAAAAAATTGAATAAATTTTTTTTAAGCAATCTTGTCGGTTATAACCAACAGGATTGCTCTATTTTCTGGCCAGCCTTTTGGCCATTTCAGATTCCATGGGGCCCTTCAGATTCCATGAGCCTTCTGGCCTAACCCTCAGTTGGAGATGGTTTTCGGGCTATTTTCGACTCTCTGGCCCTCTAGACCCTTAGGTTGGAGATGACCTTACTTGATGTCTTTTGAGGAAAAGGAGGACGAAAATATCAATGCCATTACAGTTAAGAAAAACAAAATTACATAGAAACTTCGGGTAATGCTAGAAAAATAAAATTTGTAGATAAAATTTATAAACTAAATTATTCGTCACCAATAAGAATAAACATATTTCTCAGCGCTCGAGTAATAATCTAACCATCAACTTACATGTCATTTAGCTTACAAAATTTTATTTACAAATTCAACTATATAAGAATTAAAAACGTGGAGAAGACCATAAACCGCGTAACAGAAAATCAAACTGCCGCGTATGCATCTATAGACGGCAAACTGGAACAACCCACCCACCCCTATCCGCGTGTCGTGTCCATACCTGAATGTTCGGTAGGCGCCGTAACAATTAAAGGCATGATAATATAATGATCGACGTGCTTAATTTTCTGCTAATATGGCTGATGTAATCTGGATGACGAGTAGTGGAGCACTAGTAGCCGCTGACCCTACTCGGTCCTCCCTAATCAAGCTTTTCCATACGTAAGCTTCTTTTACTGGGCACTCATTGGATTTCTGGTTACGTAGTTGTTTTTATCTTCTTGACGTAGTGAACACGACTCTGGCTTGACAAATAATTTCTGAACAATATTGAGCCTATTACTCCCATTTAATTTAGAGTAACACTAATATACTAAATTTAATACAATTATCATATGTTTTCAGATTTAGATGATTTTATATGATTTTTTAGGAAATATCTAAAAGATAGATGGTGTTGAAATACAATACGTATGGGCACAAAATGTATTTCAAAATGTGTGTTAAATTGGTGTTTCCAAATTCTAATCAAGACACACACACACACACCACACGTATATACATATTTATCAAAAAAAAAAAATTTTTATTTTTTATCACCGCCACCTCTGTTGGCGTCCTAGCCACCTTCACCACCATGTCCATTTTTGTCATTATCAACATGATAATTTGCCAAACAATTTAACCTCGTTTTTCACATTCACATCACTTTATAGATACAGTTTGCTAAACGCTTAGCTGCTTTATTTTACAACTGATTTTTCTTAAAGCACAACATAAAAAATAAATAAATAAATAAATAAAAAAATAAAAAAAAGACAGAGTTAGAAACTGTGGGGGCGACATTAACCTCCAGCTATACTTAAGAAAAAGAAAATTCATGGTAGTAGAATTTATTCTATAATTTCATTGCTTTTCTTTTTCTTCTCAAATTTCATTAAGCCAACTTGTCAACACTTTTTTTTTTTAACAATACTAGCTTATTATACATGTTATTTGAAAATTACAACTAATTAGTTAAACTACACAAATACGATAAATTCAAGTTAAGCATATTTCTACCACACAAATCTTCAATGGGGGCAGCTGCCCCTCGCTGGGCCTTAGATGCCTCCATCCCTGAACATAAACAATTTATTTAAAATGAACAAAAATCTCAAACTAGCCCTTAGTCTTATTACTAAAAACCTTTTATCTAATGTTTGTCAATTGTCAAGTACTGGCTGAAAAATGATTAATCACCACTAGAAGATAATGAAAAAAAGAGAGTAATTTGCCAATTTGTTCCTTGAATTATAAGTGAAACAAAAATTATGTTTCTGACTATTTTTCACAATTGTAGTGAAACCAAGCTGGCCTTAGTCTTATCACTAAAAGGAGCTGCCAATTCCACCTCCCCTACCCCTCTATTGTAAGATTCCAAGCTACTATATCCAGGTTCCGTCGATTTATCTTTGCATTCGAATTTGAATATGTCCTTCATTAATCATACGTTCTTGAAGAATTTACCCATATTCATCGCCATGCTAACACGGTTGTCCGATGAACCACCGAATGTTGCCATTCGTTGAAGAAATCAGAAATAAAGCTTTCAATTCAAGTGAAATAAAAGTTAGAAATAAATAAACCAGCTACATCTTCTAATACAATTTTCCCATCAAGCATAACCTGAAGACTGAAGGCACTTTCAGCTGAAGCATCTACTTCTCTAGGAAATACTCACAACTACCCTCATCTCCAAAATCTTGTGTCCTTAAACCATATTTACAAACACGGATTTAATTGTCTACAGGTATTACAAAAAAGATCGTTTTAACCTTCTACTAACGAATGAAATTTCTCCAGAAATGGTTCCGGTCTTCATTTATTGAACGGGAATGCAGTGGCAATATGCAGAATCTGAAGATGCGTCCAACATTTAAAACGCGTTATCGGTTTTACATTAAAACCTCACATCCTATGCTGGCTCAGTATCTAATTCCACATCCAGCACTGCACGAGTAAAAATTAGTACAAAGATGAATAATTAACATCTGAAATTTCAACGGCATGGCCTGTCAGATGAATCAGCTGATGGATGACTGCCATTCAAGTGTTTCTCCAGCAAACATCGGAACAATGTCTCCAAACGGAAATGAGAAGCACTCCGGTACGTTGAATGAATTCTTGATCAGCTTTATCTTTGACGTGTTTCGAGGAAGCCCATAGAAGTCTGGGCCATTGAAGCTTAAAAAGGCTTCTAGCTTGTCAATAGCACCTGCCTGAAAAATGCAAACCTATTAGCAGTAGCAAATGTAACAAATATCATAGGACTAACGTAAACTTTCTTGAGTATTTATCTGCTGCATTACATTTGATACCGCAGACACGGAGTAATTTCAACAAGTTTCTAATTTACATAAACACAAATGGAATCTCAAATGTACAGGGCCAGCTGCATCTACCTACAACTCTCCTCCTTGTGCCTCTTACTTGCCACCATAATTTGATAATAACAGTCCCCGTTAACCTTAGAACAAATCCACTCTTCTTTATTTTCCTTAATAAACCTTCCTAGCATTTAGAAAAACTGGGATCTCTGCACCAAAGTGCATGTTTTTTGTTCGATTCTTTTTTTTATTATTATTATTATTATTATTCAAGTATACCATCTGAATTAATCTAAATAGCAGGGAGAGGATTCAAACTCATGTGCTAAGGGGGGAGCACATCCGCCCTTAGCCAATGGGCACAGCCACATACAGAGATCAATACAGCTATAAATCCCATTGCTAGAGCAACAACTCCAAAACCAAATGGTAACGGCAATTTCAATACAGGATATACGCTCAACACGCCCCCTAACGTATGCCGACACTTGAGCTAAATATGTGAACAACTTGGATTGGTTCACATGGGAGGACATAGCTTACCATGTGGATTATTCGGTCTGTTATGATACTAGAGTTAGAGCCTAACAAACCAATTTGGTAATGGGTGGAGAGGCCTATTACATGTATTGTGGCCAGGTTTTATCTTCCCAATGTGCAATATACTCTCAACAAGTCCACATTTTCACT